CATGCTGACCTTTGTAGACCATCGCCAAAACCAGGTATGTGCCCTCACATCATCATCCTCACCTCCCTTTCTCTCTCACCCTTGACTTCTACATCCAAGTCTTTTCCCTCATACACGAAGACCACCACCACCTCCCGCTGGCTATCCAAGCCCAAGCACGATTATATGGGTCGGGCTATGGTGCTGCCCTCAGCAACGCCCCGCCTCTCTCACGACCGCACACGCACACTTCTGCACTAGCGCTAGCAGCAGCATGCGAGCCCTGGCTCCAGGAGCGTTGCCGCTCGCTCTACCAAATCCCTGATCCAATGCAGGATCCCGATCCTTTCCAACATGGAAAGTGGCGGGCGCATCCCACTTTTTTGCCCCGTGAGACCGAGTTTCCAATAGCTTCAGACTCGACCAAAGTGTCTGCGCCCAGGCCCGTTCAGACAGTGGCCTGGGACCGACTTGGTTAGGCATGCCCAACCACCCAGACACAACGTGTGGTGTTCCCTGCTTCAACCACATTGCTGGAAGAGCCTAAAAGTTTCAAGAAAATTTTCAATTCTCATGAGCAAAGCGGATGTAACCAACTTGCGTGTGACAACGGTCTGACGCCCACCAAGATTTGCAAGAATTGACGAGTTTGAGGCACATTGAGATTTAGGGGGGCCGCCTTCACTTGAGGCGGGCACGCGCGTGCTAAAGGGCCTTATGCTGAGGGGTAAACCCTCGCATTTGTACGAAGTGATTAGTTAATTGAAAGTGATATGCTGTAGCGGCTAGTTGAAGTCGATCTAGCCACAATTGTAGTGATATAAATTCATTTTGTCATTTGTATAAAGTTGATGGTTCTATTAAGAAACTATGACATAACAAGTAAGTGGAAGTCGATTTGGCCAGAACCGTAGCGGTACAGTTTTGTGTCATGGTTGGTATTAAAAGAAAAAAAATTGAGACAAATGTTATACGAAGGTCGATTAAGCCACAATTGTGGGAGTAATACACTATTGTTTGTATAGAGTTAATGGGATGGCTGAATTTATCGTATTATAAATAGTTTATGGGAATTGATCTCTAGCCACAACTATGGCAATACGACCTTATACTGTTATTTGTACAAAGTTAACTCAATAATTTAATGATTCCATTACTATTAGTTTGTGAAATTCAATTTATAGTTAGAAAGATTTTCATGATCGGTCAGGCACCAAGACGTGATGCCAAGGGGGGTTTGACGCCCAAGAAACCCGGACACAGGAAAAAAAAAAATAATAATAATAAAATTGGCGGTGTTTTTTTTTTGTGATCTCCGAGAGGAGCCCAAATCCAGACTTTTTTATTTTTCTGAGAGTTGGATGTCAAGGGGAGGGAGAGGGAGTATTAATGAATTTTAAAGAGGCTAAAGGGGTTTAAAGGGGGGTGCCTTCGTGTGATTTGGTTATTTTATTTTTTGTCTTCAATTTTGTGAGGACTTCTAATGTGACCCTTAGCAAAAGTTGTTTGTAATAGAGTTGTATACAACACACTTTTTAAAGATTTTTTTGGAGAGTTTTTTTTTTTTTTTTTTTTTTTTTTTTTTTTTTTT